AGAGAGAGAGAGAGAGAGAGAGAGAGCGACCGAGCGAAAGAGGATTACTATAGGAGCTGTGCGCTGCATAAAATGTTCTTTTTATTATTGTACAGCGCATTAAGCACTTCTTTTGTGGAAATGCGCTATACAAATGCTATTTATTATTATTTTCACTATTATTTGATTTGAACTTATTCCATTGCGCTCTCGCATGTGCTTCTATGACAAGCAGGCAGCTTAGGTCCTTTAAGATGGGTCTACCATCAGCTGAGTATACCTGGTCACCTTGAGGTGTCATCTCTGGCTCAGAGGTTCACGTGCAATGTGCGGCCATTGCTCACGATCGCTAGCTTTCGTGATATCCTGCTCTGTCATACTGACGATGTCAGTCTACGTGGTTCTTTGTCCGATCATAGTGATTGTGTGCCACATCTTGGCTTCAAGAGTTTTCTTCAAAATGGTCTGGTGGCGTTTTATGTTATTGGGTTTTTTTTCTTTTTTAGTAAGGTTTCACGGTGCTTGCAACTGCATAAGGTCACATGAGCGCCAAGGGGTGGATGTCAATAGAGAAGTCCAAACGGGGAATTAGGCTTACTCTGCTCACCTCTCTAGCCTCAACAGATTAAAGCCTGTTCACAAGAAAGTGACAAACCTACAAAAGAAGCAGAGGAAGATTAACGTCAGTAAGGATAAGGAAAGAAAAAGCAGCATTTTCCCCCAATGTTGTTACGGCACAGTATGAGCATGACATTGATTAACTAGCCCATTACAATTCCACTGTGCAGAGAACACGTCGTCAATATCCTCCAATTGGGAATTTCTTAAAAACAATTTAGACAGTAGCACTACCCTTTGAAAGGGGGGGGGGGGGAGTATGCGTTTTAGGTGACCAAGGTACTTTATTTTCCTTCTGTTCAGTTTGTCAAGCAGAGTTCGTCTTGAGTGGATGGAAAATGTGCCAATTCTCATTGCTTGTTTATTTTGCTTTTTCAGCCAATTTCAACCATTATGCAGTAGCACTGCATCTCAAACGCAGATATTTTGTGTTCTTATTTCTCTGTTAAAGTCCAGATCTTAGCGCAATGTTGGAAAATAGGAACGACGTAGCTTCGATTTGTTCCTTAAAAGCTGTGATAATTACCGGAAGATAAATAGGTCGTAATTCAGTCATGGATTACAGCAGGTTCAACAACTTTTTCAACATTATAAGGTTCTTTAAGAAGCTTACTTTAATGCTTACTGATCCCATAATCCACGAGGATCGTAGGGGCGCTGTATGATAGAGAGCCTCGTGAGGTGCTTTCACATTTTACGGTTTTTGCGAGCGCCTGACTTTAGGTAAAGGATATCCCTATCCACTCAGCAATGATTTAAGAAGCTGGACCTCTAAACGGAATGTCCATATCCGATGGGTTGTCAGGTGTGGTTTGCTTCTTCTCCCTTTATTCTTTTTCATGTTTGTTACTCTCTTGTAACATCTTTAATTTTCTGGCGCTCATCTGACTTTATGCAGTTGCGTGCGCCGTAAAAGTTCTACTAAAACTAAACTGATCACGCTTCTGCAACTTCCCAAAACAACCAAAGTCCAGAAAGCCCTGTTGAGTACTCGAACTTAAGCCGTCAGCACTGTAGTCCCGCATGCTACCAACAAAGCTAACAGTTGGTCCGGATGTCCAAAGGCACCTCTCCTCCACCAAAGCAGGAAGCGGAAGGGAGCTGGTGATACATCCCGGGGAGTCACCAG